CAGTGCGACACTTCATTTTCTCATACTTGAGAGTTCAGAGTGTGTTCCCCTTGAGGTACAACTAATTGCAGGTATGCTGTTTTCCAGAAATACCAATCATCCATTATTTAAAGTTTTAAGAAATAATCCATAAGTAATATTTTGCATGACACTTTCAAAAAGCACCTTTCAAACTCTGACGAGTAGCTGACAATCTACTAAGTCGTGGTTTATGCATATATGCAACACTCCTGGCCAAGCTTTTTGGTTTTCTCTGTCTTGATCTGAAACAAACCTGTGCAGTCCAGCAAAACTCTATGTAGCGCTCAGCCTTCCCCTACGCAGTAAGTATCCTCGGGTTTCAGTCTCTCTAGGAATTAAGAGATCTGTGGAAACTGTAGAACACCTGATGAAGGTAGGATTCTTAGGCCTGTTTAGAGACTTGCCTTGTTGGCAACAGCTTTATTAGCTATGCGTGGTTTATAATGGTATTGCAGCTTGTGAAAACACATATTCAGAGGTCAGATAATCTAGATAAGACCTCTTTCACATATAGATGACAGGAGAGCAAGTAGACAAATCATTTATTGTCTAAACAAAAAAAGAGATAGGGGTGCAGCTGGATAAAGGTTTGGGTTTTTTTAAAGTCAAATAAAATAATCAGCTCATAGAATGGTCATGCTTGAAACTGTTAACCAACCTGCTCTGCAACTTAGTGCTGCATTGTGAATGAAAATGTCTGAAAAAAACAGACTGCAGCTATGGACTCTGTAATACAACTAAGCAGCACTTCGTTTTTTCTCATTAATTAAAGTTCATTTTATGCATCTTTTCTAAAATAATCTTTACCACCAAGTGCTCTTAACTTTTTCTACAGTGTTGGAAGGAGTTTTTCTTAAGCACTTCATGCAAATTTTTTGTCTAAATAAAACCACTTCCAACTTTTATGACATGTAATGAAATTGGCTTTCAGCCAAGTATCAGAACTCTAAAAGTACCTCTACTGCTACCACCTTTCCTACATTGCTACTTCTGCAATGAACTCATGATGATTAAAGTCCTTCTGCAGTTTTGAGGCAGCAAAGACTTGATGCCACAGTTTGTAACACAGATTTATCCATAGCACCTATGCAATTCTGTCTGCAGACTATGTATCAAATGGGAACATAAGAATTTTCTGCCATCTAGGAGTTGCAGGGGTTTTACAGTATCCATAATGAATTGTTAAATACAAACCTAGAAGCACAGACCTTGCCTAAAAAAACCAAACTGCAGTCAGATAGAGTAACTCAACACAAACTGAGTAACCATTTTTAGTGCTTCTCTGGTATTTATTCCGTAAACACCTGCTAAATTTTTAATTGAGGGATTTTTCATTGGTGCTTATTTGCTACGGAATAAAGCTTCAGATTCTCTAAATAGAAGACAAATTATTTTGAAAAAGTAAGGCAGCTCTCGGTTTTGGTTGACGATCAGTTAAAAACATATTTTGAAGGTAGTAACTTCAGTTCATTAGTCTGAGGAGTTTCCATGCAAAAAACAGACCAACCACAGTACAAAATTCAGTATGGGATAAATGATCAACCTACAGTTCAAAAAAATCTTTCAAGAAATGATCCATTTTAAAGGCGTCGAGAATATAGACGCTCACATCCCTTAATTGCCAGTGACACGCAAATACCCTTTAGAACAATCGTCTTTTCAACTTTTCAAAAAAGGCAACAGAATGGAATCCATAATACCATCCCCAAACGAGGCTCACGTCGTAACGCCCTTTCAGAGCACCCAAACAATCTCCAAATTAAAGGAAACTCTTCTCCTCGCTTGTATTACAAGCTGGCTCACCTTCGCAAGCGGCAGAAGCACCTGCGCGCTTCGCAGCACGATGATTTTTAAACACCGGTTGTTTAGGATGTAGGGCCTGCAAAAACGAAACCTCAAAGCTACGCATTCTCATCCCAGGTTAAAAATACAGCCACGCTCTTCAACGAGAGCCGCTGACTGCGCTCGCAGGGAACGGAGCGGCCTCTCCAGCGTCCCTGGAGAAGCCCAGCCGGGCTGACGATACCATAACAAACCCCGATATTCGAAAGAGTAAATCTGAACCGCAGAGCCTAAACCCAGCCGGCTCCGAGCGCTCGCTCCCCTCCGAGCACAGCCTCTCACTTCTGGAAACTGGCTGTAAACAGGGAAAGGGAGGGGCCTGCCGCCTGCCAAGCCAAGCAGAAACTCGTGAGTAAGTTCCAGGGGAAAAACAAGTGCAGCGCGGCAGGCAGGCAGGCCGGCCGGCCGAGCAGCGCGCTGCCCGGGCGCTGCCGAGGGGCCATCACCATGCTTTCCAAGGGAACCCAGCCGGGGCTCGGCAGCCGGC